TTCATTTATCCTACTCCCATGAGTAAATCGCCTACATGTTTAAATGAGTGCTTGTAATTTGATTCGTTGAATTACAAGTAAATAGTTATTATTATTAATGACTTTATTCAATATTATACTTTTGGTACAGTATAGAATTCTATGATGATTAGGAGTATTTGAATTATAGTATGAACTAAGAATCCCAGAAATAACGTAATCGGATCAAGAAGTACTAGATAAGCACGAACGAATGTACTGTATTTAGAATTCGAAATCAAGCATTCACCAAGTACAAAAGAATCATTAGTTCATTCAAACACCACATCCTCCACAGCTTATATTAGAGTCTAAGTGTCTGTAATTGATTGTACGTCTTCTTCTTAAGTTCATCCTGTGTCTGTCCGACACTGTATTGGATAAAAACTCTGTTTTATCTAGAATGTGCTCATTAGTATTGGAATTAACAACCGGAATCGGAACAGAATCACCTGTTTCCTGGGATTGTATACAATCGCCGTGGCGGTTGTGTACCGAAACCACTATCTAGAATTTAAAGCACGGATTTCCCAACACTATCCTCCCCCACGGAACAATGTTGGATCTTAATATCCCCAAGTTACGAATGATGTGGCTTTATTTAAAACATATTTCTCACATTGGTTAGAGTAAACATTAGAAGTGTTTTTTTGATAAGGATAAACAGCAGTTGATATGAAATCATCTGAATTGTAATCAAAATCGAGGTCATTTAGTACTTGTGCTTCGCACTGAACAAGTTTCCCACAAGAAACAAATGCATTATGAGGACAAATAATATTTGATAGAACATCAAGATTTGACTCTTCTGAAATAGTTTGCTCAAATTTATTAAGAATGTCATTGCAGAGTAATGGATCATTAGAAAAATCAGCATCTATCAAAACTACATGAGGTTTTCGATCCTGACTAGGTTCATTCAACATATTATCCTCAGATTTGTAAGGAATTTCGTCAGAAATAAGTGAGTCATTAGGAAAAACCATATCTAGTACAATAACATGAGAAATCTGATAAGTCGATTGATTAGAAACTGTTGTCTCGCAAGAATTCTGAGTTTTACTTAACTCTGAACTGCTATATGACTCTACACTGTCTTTTGAAATCGTTGATAAGTTAGCAGTCCACTGAATAGACATCTAAATAATATACATTCTTTTCACTGCATATCACCAGCAACTACGATATCTTTGATTGGATTTTTTGTATTTTGTACAACGAAAGGTTGTACAGTTTTCAGAAACGTACCTGAATAGGTTATGCGATTGACAAACATGTTGAAATATCTAAATGACAGGAACAGGTCACCCAGATGTTCAAGCAGGCCGCCGAGTTCAGAGTTTAATTGAGAATATTGAGTATAGTGATTCTCAATTAAGACTTCATCTTTGTTTATCGACGATGTGTCACATTTCAGTAGAAATGCCTAACCATATCTAACACTAAGTCAAATTTCGATGCATTTTTGTTGTTGTTGAAATTTTACTTCATTAACATACATCATGTCAGTATCAACAAAGATTCATAGATAAAAATGGCATAGTATTTCGGAAAATAGACGAATTTAATCATTTGATTGATTTTGCTGAAATTGTCTTGTTATATTCCAACTAGACAAGAATTATTGACAAAAAATGTAATGACAAACTCCTTATGTAATATCTGAAGTGCTGGAACTGTGATGTTTCTATAGACGTGTACGTTACTCAAGGTTGTACATAATTTTGAAATTTTATAAAACAGTCAATGAAATATCTACATCAGTCAAAACTGATAATGCAAGAAAGTTCCTTTTTATGAGATATTCTTCTTTATTGAAAGTAAACAACAATAGCTGTCATTCAATCTCATTTAGCCTGAAGCTGTGATCACATGTATATAAGTCCACAAATTTTATTATTGAACTCCTAATCAGGGTTCATGAACACTAAGTATGCTATACTGTTGTTCAAATGATGAGAGCTTCAAGTTACTGATTGTTACTTATAAGGTGCGAATAAGCATAATCTACTAGGGAAATTAACTGAAATTTACCATTAACACATGCAATAATATATTTCATGATCTGTTGTGATGATATCTGTACACAAGATTTATACTGAATCCATGATGGACGCGTAAATGTGTAATACAATTTTCTGAAGGACTTAAGTCATTTTCGAAATTAAGGTACATTCAATTGATTGGATGAAATAGCTGAGTATATGTGCCTATGATAAATTCTTAAATTTTAGACTCGTCAATTAAAATACTTTAAGCGATAAGTATTACTTCTCAGTTGTCATTTTCAAGTTCTATCCAACATTGTTTGTGGCACTTCCACAAAGCTATTGAAATATAAATTTGACTGTAATAACAGTTGTTTGAGATCTCATGTTCCTTTAAAAGAGCTGAAGTTTAGTGAGTATAAATTGTGCTGTCGAATTCTTGATGTTGATCTTCAGAAATGTAATTTTCGTTGTAGCTGTTTGCTGGCTTTGAAAAAATGTCTGTCAAGTGGTCGTTGGTTTTAATTCTTGGTTACAGCTGTCCTTCATTGTTTGACGACTCATTAATGATACCACTACTGACACATTTGACCACACACTTGGACGCTTAAAACTGAGTTTGTTGAGATAATTAAAAGTCAAATACCCTAATCTTACTTGTGATGTGCAACATTCAGCTGAATTTCTACTCTAGTTTTTGGCACATGAAATCAGACATGTCATTAACTCTTCAGGATCCGATAGACGATATTCAATGTAGTAACAATCTAAATACGTGAAATTTTATCATTCAACAGTCAATGATACTTCGGTTTAAATACAATGATTGGAAGTTGCGTGTTGGTTTCAAGTTGCTTAAGACTATATCACTGATTATCCGTATCGGTATTACAATTAAATTAGTTATCAATAAAATGAGTATCCAGTGAGAACAAACGAACACTCCCTAGTTAACAGTGAGGAATATCTATACGAATTCGATCACTTAGAGTATATCATGGCGAAGTGTTTGAAATATGATGTAATCTACAGCCGAAAGTGGCTACTTTTAGTATAGGGTAAACTTCAAGTTGAAAGCCATACTCGATTATGCTGGGAGACTTAAATGATAAACATCAGCAACAAGAAAGGAACCATTTTTAACAGACATGTTTTGTTGTTTCACTGGGACTGTCATACCGGCGGTTGAAATTTCTGACATATTTTTTTAAAACGTTTAGGGTAAAATAATAAATATTCAGGAATAAGTGATTATGGCTCATTAAATGTTAATTTACATGGGACTAAATGTATGGAGAACATAATGTTGTTCCAGTTTAACATACTGTTTGCATAACGTAAGTATATGATATTTAGAAGAAACCATATTTTATGTTCAGCAGTTGTATGTCAACGATTCCGATAGTATTTCTCCTCAAGATTTCAGTAAATATTTGTTAACTACTCTAAACCTTATTCAAACATCGCGTTTCATTATAATGTCAATTGATTTAGTTGTTTCTGATTCCGTGTGTTCTACTTCAAGCTATGAACCCTTAGTTTCTGGGTTCATATATACTGTTTATCAGTTCCTTACAATCAGACTTTTGATTTACTTTTACTATGAACGTCCTCTTACAGGTCATACTCTGTTCATCTTTGCAATGACTGATCTCTTAATTATAGATTCGTTTCTCGACTTAATATATGCAGATCACACATATATGTTGAGTGTGAATGGTGAGATAATACAGGGTCTCTTGATCACCTAGAGTTGCAATGAAAGCCTTGTTTAGGCGACTCATTGTGGAATCACTAAGTGAGTTTATTTAAAAGCCTTTTCAGAAACTCCGTAATTTGGTTTATGAGACTGGATCGGACTGGTATCACACTAGTCAAACCACCGTCAAGTTAGATGCATGATACTGACCGATGTAGAAGTAGTCTGTAAGGAAACTGATAACGATTAAGATCGTCTGGACTATGGTCGTCAACTATGGAGATGTTGAATGACATGGTTTAGAATCGATCACAATTGAAAGATACTTTCACATTTTATCGTTCTCTAGAGACTTGTTAAAACACCTAAGGATTCTATATTTTTTATCGTCATTTCAAATTATCATGCTAATATGGTTTGGCAGCTTGGTATGAAACAGCTTCGTCCACGTTTATTTAGTCAGTCAGCAACAACGCAGAACTTCGTACGTACGCACATCAGTTCGAGTTGTCATACCATATTAGCACATGGATACAATTGTCGATTCAAATCCCGTAGTGGTAGAGGTCGAAGAGTTCAGGCAGTAATCGGAAAGATTAGGGTTTGAAAATGTTATTCAAAAAGTGTTGTCCAGTGAAATAAATTCAGAAAGAGAAAAAAAGGATACGAAGAATTCAGAAGATTAGAATTTGAGAGAAAACAAAGAGTGGATGCACCTGCGCCATTGCAAACGATTTTGAGTCATATCATTCAAGGTCTCTAACCATCGGTTGATTTCGTCTTGCGGATCCCAACCAGGTGGTCTACACTTACTAACATGGCACATTTCACTCGTCAATGACTTCATGGATTTGTGCCATGTTTTGACCTGGCTACCCCTGGCTTTCTTCTAACCTACTCGTACACCATAAAACATCGCACGTCGGGGCAGTCGGTGGTTGGGCATACGTAACACATGTCCCAGCCATCTCAACTGGTGAAGTTTCACTACTTCATCAACTGATTTGCTAACCTTACCTAGTACCTGTTTCCTAACATCTGCATTACTTACTTGGTGATCCCAAGATATACGAGCAATCCTTTGAAGACACCTATGATGACTATTTTCAAAATACTTTTAACAGAATAAAACAAGATTTATCAGACTAATCTACTTTTTTTCTTTAAATTTAAACTTTATTCATAAAGTAACCAATTAAATGTCAATACAGTTATGTAATAATCTCAACAAAAAAAACATTTCTAAACTAATATGATTATTACAATGTAATGAACACTATCAAACATGATTTTGTTTAAAATCGTAGAAAACCTGAAATTGAAAAGAAAGAAATTTCCAATTATTCTACACATTTAATAGATTGATTAATATAACAATATGTAAAGGTAAATATGATATTTCACTGGTTGAAATCATGAGCCAATTGAAGCTAGACCACCATGGAAAACATGGAAGCACTGGACGGCTGTTTCGTTCTAGTATGGGACTCTTCAGCAGTGCCCATCCACGATCCCGCCCTCCGCAAGATTCGAACCCAGGACCTACCGGTCTCGCACCAGGCGCTTAACCAACTAGACCACTGAGCCTGCCGGCCAATGTCTGACTTCAACTAAATATGATATTCTTTTACCTAATATAATAATCATCTAGTGTTTGTTTCTGTTTTTTTTCAGCATGATATTCTATTCAGTATAACATACGATATTCTTGTATTTAATGAACATGGACTATGCTCAGTATGATATGTAGCATATGATTTTCTTATAAATCTAATTACTTTACATATATGTGATTTCATCTAGTGTTAAGAAATCTTCATCGTTGGAATTGCAGTAATTCCTTATTTTTGAGTGTAAGTGATAAGCGATTCCGATATAATAATCAGTAATGATCATATCTAACAAGTAGCGTTCAATCAGAAGACATATCATTTACTTACTTACTTACTTACGCCTGTTACTCCTCGTGAAGGAGCATAGGCCGCTCACCAGCATTCCCCATCCAACCCTGTCATCAGCAATCCTTTCCAGTTCTTTACAGTTGTTATTCATTCTTTCCATATTCGATTCTATTTCTCGACGTAATGTGTTCTTTGACCTTCCACTTTTCCGCTCACCTTCAGGATTCCAAGTTAACATTTATCTCGTGATGCAGTTTGGTGATTTCAGTCATCTATATCTTATCCATTTCCATCGTCTTTTCCTAATTTCCTCTTCAGCTGGAAGCTAGTTTGTTCTCTTTCACAGAGAGGTTGTTGCTGATGGTATTCGGCCAATGGATATTGAGTATCACACATCATTGAATACATAGTTAATCTATCAGTCATTATAGAGTTTATAACAACTGAAAGATTTGTTGTCTTTCATCTTATCCGTCAACCAACTTAAAATATATTCATTGACTACAAGTATTAATCTAACAGTAACTTTATTGAATCTGACATGATCAATTGTTTTAATAACTATTAAATATGTTGTATTCGTCGTATTCTTAAGACAAGTCTAAATACAATAAGTCAATCTCGAATAATATCATAATACAATACTTGACATAGAGATGAACATAAAATAGCACAAAATAATTGATTATTAAGATAAAGTAGAGAGAAAATCTCATTTGCATTACCACCAATTCTCTTTGCTAAAGATATTAATTCATCAACATTTCTCACAGCGAAATCGTACATAACTGAAATATCAGAGAAAACTCAAGTGAATATTTTGTACAATAAAATAAATATTTATTATTAATCTATCATTTTCACTATTGGGTTGTGAAGATTATTATGTTTTTGATTGAAATCATGAACTGGCAGATGTTAGACCACTGCTGAGGAGGAGTCTCACAATAGGACGAAACAGTCGTCCAGTGCTTCCAGGTTTTTGATGATAGTCTAACATCAATTGGTTCATGATCTCAATAAAATATATTTATCATTTTATTGGAAGTGATGTTAACTCCAAGTAGTTAACTGTCTACACAAATTTAATAAACCATATTAACGCCTTTTTAATTTTTTTTCCAAGTTCTCACAATTCATCGTTTTACTACTACATGATTCATATGGTAATAAACGAACTATTTGTGTGTATATGAATAAAAGAATTCAGAATATTTCACTTTGTGATCTCAACAGTTACATTTTTAGTAAAAAACATACAATAAATTCACTTGATATTGTTTGTTTAAGTCTTCCCATTGATATTTAGGACTGAAATTGATCAGTCTCATGTTGGCATATGTGCATACTGAGCGCATTGCCTTGATATAGCCTTAAGTCACAAGCATTATATGCAAATATGGATAGTGGCTAGCAGAGGGATCCAGGACGCGCGTTTCGTCCTATTCAGGACTCGTCAGCTGGATGTACCTGCATCTCAGAGTTGATGTTCACTCTGGAGCTCGAAATCAGTACCGACCGCTTCAAACCCTATCACGTTATGCACTTAGCTACTGAGTCCTGATAGTCATATGCTTTTGCAATGCGGTGAAGTTTAAATTCACTTGGTATTGTTTACTTGACCCCTACTATTGATGTGAGTGAACATCAACACTGGGATGCAGGTACATCTAACTGACGAATCCCAAATAGGAAGAAACGCGCGTCCTGGATTCCACTGCTAAAAACATACAATGTTGTGTCACTTTTACTTACACATTCCCTTTTTAAACGATTTCATATTCATGTATTTTTTAGCAATCAAGTCATCTAGATCCTTAATATCTGGAGAGAGGGAAAGAAAGTTATTTGTCAATTTAAGAAGTATTATACAAAATTCATCTTAACTTATCATCCATTGTCAGTTTGACAATGGATATAAAGTATTCAAATCAATAACTTTAAATATAATTATCCACTGCATTTGATAGTATCGAGTTACTGTTTCCCTATCTATTTATAGATATGATGTGCGTTCTTCAATTATGTTTCATAAAAGAGAAATCATTACGTTTGAATTAGTATATGAGTAGTGGCAATATTAAGAACAAAATTTTGAATAGCAGGCCATCGTAATTGTGGTTAATTAATGAAGTATCATTTTATTTTTAAGCTTATTGTTTTCATTTAAATATCGAACATGAACAGAAGTTTATGAATTTGTGTGATTTGTACAAGGATTTTGAATTACGTTAACAGGGTTTTGAATTATCAACGTGTTGTCGTTAATTTCTTAGATGATCTGTTGTCCATGTAATATTGATACGTTTATACACTAAACTATGTGCAAACTCCGACTTTAGCATTACCTAATTACGCCTGTTACCCCGTCAACCAGCATTCTCCAACCCACTCTGTCCTGGGCATTCCTTTCTAGTTCTATCCAATTTTCGTTCATTTTTCTCATGTCTGTCTCCATTTCCCAGCGTAATGTGTTCTTTGTTCTTCCTCTTCTCCTTTGGCCTTGAAGCTTCCATGTGAGGGCTTGTCTTATGACGCAGTTGGGTGATCTCCTCAATGTGTGTCCTATCCATTTCGGGTGCTTCTTCCTCCACTGGAATCTAGTTTGTTCTCTCCCATAGTAGGTTGTTACTGATAGTGAAGTGTGATTCGATTGGTGCATGTTGTGTTGTATAGGAGAATCTTGTTTTTCTCTTTGTTAATACTGAGACCTATTGCTGCTGAGGCTGCTGCTACACTGGTCTTCTTCTTCTGAATTTGTTGTTGCGTGTGCGATAGAAGAGCCAGATCATCTAAGACTTTAGCACGATGGAGAATAATTTAAACCCAATTATGAACATTCAAAACACATTTGTAAAATTTACGTCAACCGAGAAGAATATCGTGAATTCATGGCGTGTCTAGACTTCTATAAGCTGATGAAGTTCAGTTCAATATTGTTTCAAGCTTTGCATAAAGTAACATTACAGATGTCACTTTAGGCCAATTGTAATGGAAGACATTTCTTGAAATAGTATGAATTCAGTTCATTCTGCAAATCATGTTCTGTTTGATTTGTTAAAATTGATCAAACGATCAAAAAGCATTAAACTTTTGGAAAATATGATGTTTTCATCTGAGTAATTCAATGAGCTTATCAGTGTTACTCTTTTGTTGCAAGAATCATTCAAAGAATTTATTAATAAACGAAGGTAGTAGACAGATAATCATTTCATTAAAATCGCGAACCAATCAAATTTAGGCAACTATTGATAAACTGAAAGCATTAGATATGTTTGATTCTCATTTACGATGTCATACATGAGCATTATTGTGAAGTCCCATACTATGACTTAACATCTGTCAAGTACTTGCCGGTTTTCGATAGTTATCAAACTTAGAACAGTTTTTTTGATTCCAATGAAATTCAACCATCTGCACAACCTCATACTTTTCATACTGATATATAATAAAGATCATTTATTTCTGTTTACCTTCTTCAGTGAATGTTTTAAATTGATTGCACTTTTCTTCAGTGTTATCAGACTTCATATCTGTAAATAACATTGTTTTTTTTACAAAAAGATTAGTTCACTTGACAACGCTTTTAAAATTGATCAACTATGCGACCAGTGAACATCAATATTTAAAGCGCATAAAAACCGCGAAAATTCGTCTTGGTTACCAAATGTCTGACTAGATATACATCCCTGATGTCATAAATGATCAAAAATATTATTTTGCTTGTAAAACATTATAATATTGATTGAACTAGAAAAGTTATCAGGTGCGCTGGTAGGGCCGAGAGTGGGAAGAGTTCGCTCTCCCTCTCGAAACGCTCTCACATGGCCACGTGTATATAGCCTCTGCCAGGGAAGTCCCACTCACTGCCTTATCGTGGTGGGGGTGTTGTTTACGAAATCGAGAGGACGAAAAGCGAATGTCCAGGGCTTTAACCGGATTCCAAACCAATGGTGCACATGGGCTCCAGTATCCTGCGGGAACAAATGGCATATGAACCAATTGTTGGTCACCGGCTTCCATGGAACTGCATCTCCTTACTATGCTCCACTGCCTTGTGGATCAGACCTTCAGGTCGAAGGCTCGGGGAGTGGCCACCTAAGAAAACCACCTGCTTCGGTTTGGGCACCCGGGCAGTAACAGGCGTAAGTAAGTAAGCAGTATCACAGCCCTCACACATATCGAGTGAGAATTGTGTGTCACATATGTATTTGGTGCTTCCTTGTACCAATATCTATGTGTTTAAATAAATAAAATAAGTTGAATCTTTCAGTAGTCTCAGCCAACAACTAAGTGTAAACAGAAGACTGTGTAAATAGGAATGGTTCATTTTCTTAAATTGTATTGTAACAATTAAGTGTTTTCTATATTATTGGTTCTGTAGTGAAGAAGAACATAAGTGGGGACAATCGAACGTATTTGAGCACAAGATTACAGAACATCTCACTAAAATCTGACAACCATATAGTAAATACTTCATTTGCAAAATATCAATCAATTGTCTTAAACTTGATTGTTTCTTTTGCAAATATCAGTCCATCGTTTCAGATTTGATTGTTCATACATTTTCATACTAATTGCTCTTCGTTTCCGTTTTCTTCTTCTCGACCTTACACTGAAATACATTCTTTATCTGACCATCGTTATATACTACTTATGTAGATATAAGTAACTCACACCACAGTTTCAAGTCGATAATTTCACTTTGTAATGTTGATTGAAATAAAACGTTGAATTCGTTATGCTATTTTGATTCATAGAAGCATTGTTTAATGATCTGATTCGTTCTATCCTGTTTAAATCTATCTATCCGACAAAATTTATCTGTCCATCAATGTCTATCAAATGTGACTAAGTATTATACATCAGTTTTTCTTTAATATGAACTGTATAAGTGCTGTGTTTTATGAATTGAACTCAAACGTTCTTAGCCAGTATCATAGTGGTGATCATTTCGCTATATCAATGGAGCTCCCGTATAAACGATGATTCCATTTAATGCTATCTCAAACCTTGATCTGAATGATTAGTTAACCATACTTCCTAATATCATATGTAATCAATCGACTATACATCGGTTGTTTTATTGTGTTTGTATTTATCCAGACACTTTCATGATAAAATACTCATATAAGTGATCGCCGTAATTATCTGTGAGATTTTTCATTACTGTTCACCATGAATTTGAACTGAAGGGAATGATTACAAGAGAGCAAGGAAACAATAGATACTATTTGTCTTTGAGATATGGACACTGGAGTGTTTATCTATAATTTATTCATCACCAATTTGTGCATGGTGAGATGTTATTGATATTTCTTTAATTTACAGATGAGTAATCGAACAAAAAATGTATATTTTATTATGACGGAGTTTAGTTCTCGGATCTGGATTGTTTATTCATTCAGAAGAACGATGAAAGCTCCACGACTAAACCATCCAGCTCAGAGAACAAAACTCCATCACAAACATCATCCACCTGAGCTACAAATCTTCTCCACCATTTCAAAATCATATGAGTGAAGCGCATTTCTCGTTGTTTGAAAATGGGAGGATTTCGTCAAAATGCAGGCTTCTACTCGAGAACAACTGTATTTTTTCCACGAATGTGTTTGTCAGCATTTCCTACCAACAAGTGTAAGATACAGTGCACTAATCAATTGTTCATTTGGATGGAGAATAGTTGAGTAAAGTGAAAGAAAAATGGCACACCTAATGATAACGGATATTTTATTAAGATAGCTAAATATTCAAGAATATTTTCACTGACTTTCTGATATCTTTACTTGATCTTTGAGGCATTTCTTCAGAGTTAGAAATTTAAAATCTATTGTTTTGATGAAATACAAAGAAAGTAGACAAAATTAATTTCATAACACAATACGAAACATATATTATCATGACAATCAACTGTAAAGTTGACTTCAATTCAAATAGGGCATTGTCATAAAAGCAAGTTCATTATCCTCTTTAAAGTTAAGCACAACCTTTATGAATAGGATAATTGTACAAGAATAAATGTCGTAAATAGAATGTTTCCGATAGTGAGATTGTATATAATATCACATGGATAATAATGTAAAATAAGAAATCATACATGTTGTAAGCATCGTGAATGCCCATGATTCTTCTATTTCTAAAAGATTTAAATGAAAAGAAATAGTTATTCATTTCATTGGCATGTTAATTAAATAAGATGACATCTAGCAAAAACAATATCGAACTTTAGTCTAAATTAATCGTAAAAGAATATAAACGGAAAAAAACTCCAAGGACCCTTCGACAGTAAAGGAACTTGATGAGTTTCTGCGTCATTCTGTCAAACTTGCGGAAGTGAATGCGAAGATAAAAGAAGATACAATAACGATGATATAGTGTGCAACAATGATGGAGTTCTTGTATGAGCAGTTAAACTTCACTGTCGTTTTATGTTAGCAAGATACTTGTCAATAACATGCGTAAACATTCTAATAAGTAGACAATTGAATATCTGACCAATTACAAATGAGTAGGAATCAACTCTACAACAAGTAAGTGACTCTCTCTTCAGTTAAAATAATCCTGAATAGTAAGATGAATATATGCAAACAAATAACCGCCAACATGAAACTGTCCTGTTATTTAAGCCTACTATTTCATTCATTTCAAATGATGTGGTTACATCTCGGTAGTGATAATATACAAGAGATTAATTGTTGAATCTGGATGATATTGTGGTGTGTGCTACTTATATTAATATAAGTAGTATTTGATGTTAGTTGTGAACAGAAGGTCTGGCAGCAAAGAGACAAGACGATCGAACATTAAAAAAATGGAAACAAGATGCAATTTGTATGAAAATGCAAGAACGATGAAGTCTGAGTCACTATGACACAACTGGTGGACATTTTGTAAATTAAGCATTTACATTATGATTGTTAGATTTTATTAACAAGTCCTGTAATTTTGTGTTAAATGCATTCGATTGTCTCCACCCGTGTTCTGTTCACTACAATATGAAACATGGTGTATACATGTTTTCAATTGAATACTGTTCGCCGAAATAATCTGAAATATTCAGGAATGTTATCAGGGCAACTATAATTTTACAGTTTTATGCAACTTTCAGAAGTTACTGTAATGAACATGCGGAATAACTTATAATCTAATTCAATTGGATTAAAATAGAAAATGACTGAAATCAATCAATGTAATGATCTATGTATGTAATGAGATTTGCATAGAAACAAAGTTTATTTTATAATATTTGTAAAAACCTTTAAGAAATCCATGAAAAGTTTCTGCTTCTTGATGTTTAGTTTTACAGCGCACATCTAAAATCAATCATGTGATATGTGTGTGGACAATTATGCTTTATTATACACGTACATTGTTCAATTGTTTCGCGTTTTTCCACTAGATTCTCCATAAGGTTCTCTGAAACAAACAGATATACATTAATACGAAAAAAATGTATTCAGTTTTATTTTATAAAAAATGTTTTAGCCAAATAATTATTAGAGTAGGTTTGTAAGTTTGTACAGTTTATTGTTTACATCATGAACTGATCTCATTCAGATAATCATTCTATACTAGAAAGTAATCAGTATGAGACTCTTGAGCAAAGTGGATACACTCCTTGTCTTGATATTTAAAAGGGTGATGTTTGTAGACTACTGAGAGTTTTATACAAGAACGAAATAGCTGTGCTGTGGATGCTTATCTCTGGTAGTTGTTTAATTAGAATTAGTCAGTGATGTATGATTGATATTCATCAGTTTATTATTCGTCAATTTAAGGAGGTATCCGTAGACATCTTCGTTAAGTTTATGTGATATATATCACTTAATACAGAAACAAACAGTAGAGCAAATCCAGGAATCTTGTGTATACAATTGATATCATCGCTCAATCGTACTGGACCAATTACATTCATGTAATCTCCTGATTTGAATTTTGATGGGAAGATTTATATAATTCAGAACATTCAACTACTCAATTTTATGTTAGAAATCCTAATAGTGAACTCTATTCGAAATTCTTTGGACTGATTATTAGAAAAAGGGAATTTCAATAGAACATCATTCAAAATGACAAGGCAAATAAAATATACAGACTAATTTGTTACTATACACAGGACTCAGTAGCTAATTGGATAACGCGATGGCGTTTAAAGCGAATGGTACTGGGTTCGAGTCCCAGAGTGGACATCAACTCCGATGCAGGCACATCCAGCTGACGAGTCCCATAGAGGACGAAATGCGCGTCCTGGATTCCGCTGCTGGTTCCCCTTTGCCCCCAAATGCCGTGGTACGGCCGAGAGTGGGAAGAGTCCGCTCTCCCTCTCTAAACGCACTCATATGGCCACGTGTATATAACCTCTGCCAGGGAAGTCCCACTCACTACCTTATCGTGGTGGGGGTGTTGTTTACGAAATCGAGAGGACGAAAAGCAAATGTCCAGGGCTTTAACCGGATTCCAAACCAATGGTGCACATGGGCTCCAGTATCCTGCGGGAACAAATGGCTTATGAACCTGTTATGACGTGAAAAATAATACTGCGGATTAAGGGGTAGCGAATTATTGATCGGACCAAAGACGTGCAAACACGTAGAACGACCTAGGGTTCTGATTGGTCTCGCTTCCCTGTATAGCCCAGCCAATTGAGTCCAGAACGCAAGTCACAGCCTCGGATATATGAATCATTATATTTCAAACATACTTTGTTTATATACCAGTCAAGCAGACCACAACGTACCATAAAATAGAAAATAACATTGTACAATAATGGCCAACAGGAAAATAACACGTTGAATAAATATTGACCAATAAGATGATACCATTTCATGTCCAAGGATAGCATTAAGCTTAAAAGGATAGTTTTTGGGATATTTTCCTGAATATCCCAACAGAACCAATTGTTGGTCACCGGCTACCAAGGGACTGCATCTCCTTACTATGCTCCACTGCCTTGTAGATCAGACCTTCAAGTCGAAGGCTCGAGGAGTGGCCATCTAAGAAAACCACCTGCTTCGGTTTGGGCACCCGGGCAGTATCACAGCCCTCACACATATCGAATGAGATTTGTGTGGCACATACGTGTTTGGTGCCTCTTTGTACCAATGTTTATGTGTTTAAATAAATAAATATATAAATAAATATGTTACTATACACATCTCATTGTACAATGCAATGAAAGTGTATTTAGGGGGTCGGCCAGGTTGGTTTATAAACCTTTTCGTATACATGTTTTTTTTTCAAAATTACAAATTACTCCATAATTCACTTACTTATTTTGGCTTTTAATATTTTTTCATTTTCTCGAATATTAGCTGTACTATCTTCAACATTTTCTGTAATGTAGATAATTGTAAACATTCAATAAAAATGTTAATTTAATAAATCAGATTAAAACTTGATAGTTTCAGTAATCAATATTGATGTCGTCTTCATGAAAACCCTTTTATGATAATACCATGATCGATTGTAGAACACTGTGATACCATTCAAACAACATTAAGTAAATTTAAACTTCATTACATTGCACAAGCAGGTGGCTATCAGGACTCAGTAGCTAAGTGGATAATGCGATGGCGTTTGAAGCGAACGGCCCGGAACGAAGATCAACACTGAGATGCGGGTACATCCAGCCGACGAGTCCCAGATAAGACGAAATGCACGTCCTGGATTCCTCTGCTAGCCACTATCCATCTTTGCATATAATGCTTGTGAATTAAAGTCATTTCGAGGCAATCCACACAAGATGCATATATGGCAACATGAGACTGATCAATTGCAGTCCTAAATAACAAGTGAATTTACCAATCATTATTGATATATTAAGTAAGCATGATCACAGATTTATATTATTGATTATAGAAAACTAGCAGGATAATCATAATTTGTACAACATGTTGACAGTCCTTATAGTAAACTACTGTAACAACACTAGTCTATTTTCCTCTTACATTCAATGATAACTAAACTAGAGTGATTTTGAAGTAAACATTATTGAAATCATTTCAAATGATATGAGCAGAGATACAATTGAATTTTAGTCAGATTATTCAAAACAGATTTCAAAAGGTGTAAAGTCTTCCTTTACAGATTATACAAATTATAACATACTTATCACTTCTTCGATTTTTTTCTGAACACCTAAAGTGGGGAGAACAAAAATCGTCTATACTATTACTAAAGTATAATACAATTGAATAAGAATAATAAGGTTATCATCATTGCTTACTCTTAAAAAATACTCACCAAAAAATGTATAACAAATTGTAATTGGAAATGTTTTATTCAAGTTGATGTATGGGAGAGAATGATAATGATTAATAGTTTGCTTAGTCAGACTTGTATATAGTCTAACAGGCGTTAGATGAGTTATATATTCTCCTATCCTTATTATTATTATTATTATGGACTGATTATTGGTTGCTGTTAGATTGTATCCGCTTGTTGTTGTTGGTTTTTGGTGTGGAAATATATTTCGTTCTAGCAAGGCCAATCATGTGTTCTTGATCTGAGTTGTGTTGAAGTCTTATAGAATAGACAGTGGGAAGGAATCTAGTGTAGATATTCGTCTAGGGTAAATTAACTTCTCATTCGTGTAAACGTAGAAAACTGAGCATTATAACATAAGTGAATAAATCACTGTTACAGTTAATCACTTAAACATGATTGGATATTCTTCTTGAAAACAGAAATCGGTTGATAGTTTCAACATAGTAAATTGTTGACATATAGATGAGAAGTAATTACTAGCTAATTAGGAATCGACAATGAACTAACTAAATCCTAATTGCATATTAAAAACACTGATTTATTTAGATTGTTGTCAACATTGTTAGACATTTCTATATGTCATGTTCATAAGTACCGTACGATTTCTATGAATATATCATAGCATGACATTAAAGAAGAAGAATGTATTTGTAAAATCTCAGCGAAAGAATTTGAAGTAAATCCAACGTTTCCGCCTAGTAATCTGGTTCAAAATTATCGAATATAAATAGATACATGATTCTTCGGTTCACTGTATACTGAATAAGTCATCCAATCAATGTTAACAATGTTTAAAGTAGATATTTACATTAGTGTGTAAGAGACATATGCTGTGAAACGAAAAAGTGTTAAGATAACAGATTGTGTGTATACGTCAGTGAGGAGAACTGTAAACATCGTTATCGTTGATTGTATAACCTATTCAGTATACAGTGAACCGAATAACAATGTACCTATTTGTATTCGATAATTTTGAACTAGATTACTAGTCGGAAACGTTGGATTTACTTCAAATTCATTCGCTGAGATTCTACAAATATATTCTTCTTCTTTAATGTCTCACATTAACTCGGTACCCAAATACTGTGAAATTATTCGATCAAATTTAAACAAAAGTTTTTATATATCATAATATGTTTTATAGAAGAATATTGTAACTATGATGATTAAAGCAAAGTTATAAGAAAACATTCAATATCAGTGTTCTATATGACAATTTCATATGATGTTTAGGTCATAACATAAGTAGTACAGATTATTGAGAGACCCTCATGACTTACGTGGTTGAATTTTAGCTTGAAGAAGTATTTCGAAGTATTAGGAAGATTAAACAATTTCAATCAAGTTACAATTCTGGACAATCATGTATTTTGAAATTATTTACTAATGATGTATGTTCCTCCTATGATTATGATTCACATTGTGAAAACAAGCTGTTAATGTCAATAATTACTTCACAGTAAAATTATTGACTGAATGATACCGGTTGATAGAAAGTGTAAGCCTATTTTGAAATATTAGATCTATTTCGAAGAGTATTGAGCTCGATGCCATAAATCAGCTTTTGTGTTGAATATCGGTTTACTCGTTCGATTAGGATGTACAATACACCATACACAATATTAGATATCTTCGTGATAAGGTTTATAATGGATTATGTTGATTTATTTGATCACGAATGAATGAGGTCTAATATCTCATTAAGTTATTGTTCCCTTTAGAGCTGTGTATGTTTTACTATTTCTCTGGAATAATTGTAATAACTAGTTTTGTCTTGTGTGTTTCGATTATCATTTGAAAGTGGTATTTAGTTAGTGGTTTGATTCAATAAATTGTTGTCATTGTTCTGAAATGTACCAACTAATCGATTGAGATCTGGGACAATTTACTTCTGTGGCATCCATTTGAACTATTCGACACATGGTATTGTTTAAGATATTGATTGTTTCCCTTTTGTCAGTCTAATCTAGAAATTCATACAATTTGCAGAGTAAAATACTCTCATCAATCATTTAAATACAACAGTTTTCAACTATTCAATCTATCTCATTTATCTCAAATTGGAGAGTTTTACTGTCAGATTTATGGTTAACATATTCGTAGGTAAAGTAGGTGTATTTTCAATGTGGTAAATGAACATTTTCGAGGCTACTTTCAGATAAATTCTTGCAGGACAATGATAAATATAATTATACAAGTATTGTTACAAATATGAAATATGTAGAGAATATAATTTGATGACTTACGATAATCCTCAAGTTCTAAAAAGATGTATTTAGTGAACCATTATAATAGTTACATGAGTGTTGTTGAATATCTCATAACTGAAAGATAGCAATGGATATATAGCAGTCTTCTAAATTCACTTAGTATTGTCTGCTTGAATCTTCTCATTGATATTTAGGACTGCAATTGATCAGTCTCTCATTGACATATGTGCATACTGTGCGTATTGCTTCGATATTACCTTAAGTCAAAAGCATTATAAGCAAAGATGAGTGGAAGCCAACAGTGGAATCCAGGACGCGCGTTTAATCTTACTTAGGACTCGAAGTGAACATCAACTCTGGGATGCAGGTACATCCAGCTGACGAATCCAAAATATGACGAAACACACATCCTGAATTCCATTGCTAGTCACCATCCATCAGTGCTTGCAGTCTCCTGTTTCAAATAGTTAGGTAAATGTGGAAATAAATGCGGTTGAAATTTTCAAGATTATCTCAGATTTACATAATAGGGATATTATTAGCAATGGTAGCAGAATAATGGTTTAGTTACAGTTGGTGTATATACACAAAATAAACACCGATCTAGGCAGTGTGAGTGAAGTTTGATTTCATTTGTACGCTAACTTTGCTATGAAATCTCTGTGACTTAACGTTAATAATGAGACTATCCGTTCTGGATTGACATATGACAAAAGAGACCTGTCACCTTCAGTTCTAAATAGTAAAATGGTACAGCGGAAACACTCATAAACGAATGGACAATATTATAAAGACAAAACTTTCAGAACCCATGGATTTCGTTAATCATTTGTCAACCGGTGAAAGTCTAATGGGGATTCTAATGTAAGATCGGAAACTGAATAGTGATTTTGGTACAATAGATTGCTTTCACCATTGTGAAATGTGCGAACTAATTAGTTGAGAACAGCTGATAACTATCCTCGGATGGTTTTGTTTTTCGAGTATCCATTTGTATAAGTTAACATGTTGTATTAATTATTGTATTATCATTTTTAAACAGAAATATACGACATGAAAACCGGAAGGAGCTTATCTTGGTGAGAGTCAAATTCAAACGAATTTTAAGCAATAACTTCAAAGGATTCATGAAAGAAAATAAACATATCAATTACTTAATTGATGTGACTGTACAACTACATTCATAAATATTTGGTTTATCTTATCTTTTGCAGTTTTTGATCATAAATGTTTTTAAGTGATTATCTTAATGATTGATAAATGATTGTAAATATCATCAAACTGTATTCGATTACTTACCATTTATGACTTTGTTTTTGAAAGCTATGGAACAAGATGTTCACATAAGACAATAAATATACTTGATATTGACATAAACTAAGACTTTTTTCATCCCCCCCCCCTATTTATTACCAAATATTAATTGACGTTAAGTCGTTAATTTCTAATATGTCAGTTGTTCAGATCATGAGTCAATTGAAGCTAGACCACCATGGAAAACCTTGAAACACAGGGCGGCCGTTTCGTTCTATTGTAGGACTCCTCAGCAGTGCGTATCTACGACCTCGCCTCGTGAAATTCAAAACCAGGACCTATCAGTCGCGCACACCAGCGCATAACCACTAGACTGCACTTCTGAGGAATCCTACAATAGGACGAAACAGCCGTCCAGTTCTCCCAAGTTTCCCTTAGTGATCTAGCTTCAATTGACTCATGATTTCAACTATTAAAATCACTATAATATCTACATAAACCCTTTCTGATATTAATTTTTAACATCACTCTGTAGACTACAATCATGGTTTAAATTTGATATATTGATTGTACAAATTGATGAAATGTAACATCATAACATAAGAGACTTGTCTTATAACCAATTAGAGTTAGATAGTATATGTCTATTGAAAGTTTGTACTACTTAAAAATCAGAAAATGCACATTCTTCACCATCTCAAAATGCACATTCTTATTGAGTTGATCAAATCAATTCCAAGAAAAACAAAGTACAACACATATAGTAATAAAATTCTGCATTCAGTTATAAATCCCTTTAAAGTGAATCATGGAAGGTATTAATAAATAACTTACCTATTACACCAGCTTTAATTAGAGAATTTCAGTTGAAAGCGCATATGAAATAAGAATGAAAACCAAATTCTTATTTAATGTTGAGTGATTTTCTGCTATTACCACTTGTTATAATACATTTTGGTACTTCTTTATTGATTAAAGTTATGGTAGAAATTAATTATATTCTTAGATCAAAGTAACTTGTTTTAGTGACCTTGAACTGAGCCAAACACAGATGTAAGATAATCAGAATGAAACTGTTATATATGGATGATAAATTTCAGTAAATGAAAACATTCCATAGAATACAGGGTTTTAAAATGTTAGAATATTACTGTCTTACACTAAACATTCAAGCCCGAACAGTTAAAATACAATCTGAGTAAGTATCATAAATATTACCCAAAAAAGAAACAAAGTTACGGTGTATATGTAGGATCAACGTGATCATCTTAAAAACGTTCCATTAACATTTTGACAATCTGTAGTTCACTCTGAAATAAACTCGCCTCCTTATTTCTTAACCTCTCCAATTTTCGCTTGCTACACACAGTTATACTAATAGCTATTTTACAACGGTCAAATGTTTTACAGATGATCGAAGAATATGTTATTATTCGAATTGGTTAAGGTGAAAAAAAATTATCACAATTGAGTTTTTTAGTATCAGAGTATTCGTAATTGTTTGCTGCATTCAAATTGTTTACTTCTTTATGTTTAAAGGACAGCAGAATGGTTATTGCCATTAAAAAGGAGTGGCAATTGTGGTTAGCTGACTTTAGCAACTAGGTAGGAAATATCAAAATGCATTCGTTGAAACTAAGCTAGTATTGATTAAAACTAATGTGTCTTATATACTCAAATAAGGTTGCTACTTTTCTAAGTACAATGCACACCATGTTTGAATGTATATTCTCACTTCTGTGGTTGGACCACTTTTGCAATAAAGGCATTGGTAAAGATCGATCAACTGTTCATATTAAGCACTAACTCAGGATATATTCAGAAATAAATGTGATACAGAATTCACAACAACTCCACCTGCAGCCCTTCTAGGAATACTGCCGGTCCGAAAACCGGGTAAAGGAGGAGGGCTGGGCATGCGGTAGGCAACCTCATCCCGTAGAACGCAACCTTGTCAGAAAATGTCAACCAGAATAAACAATCTAAACCATTTATGCTCTACCTTGAGAGTTGTAATATTCTTCATTCAGAAGAATTATGATGCCTCATGATGAAAGCCGAAATTCTTCGGAAGTCACGAGGCCGATGCCTCTTCTAACAACCAGAGCAACAATTTTTATGGGTACATGAAACGTCCGGACAATGTGGGAGACTGCGAAGACCAGTCAAATAGCGACGGAACTGAGGAGATAAAAATTGGCAGTACTGGGAATCAGCGAAACTCGTCGGACCCAAACTGGACAACAAAGGCTAGATATGGGAGAGATACTGATGTACTCCGGTCACGAAGAGGACAGTGCTCCACACACTCAAGGAGTTACTCTGACGCTTTCCAAAGTTGCACGAAATGCACTTATAGGATGGGAATCTCATAGATCCAGGATTTTCAAAGCATCATTCAAAACAAAGAAGGAGGGAATCACGCTGAATGTTATCCAATGTTATGCACACACCGATTATAGCACTAACGACGACAAAGATCAGTTCTACGGTAGGTTGCAACTAATCATAGCGAAGTATTCAGGACTTGACCATCCTGATAGCAGACCTAAACGCCAATGTCAGAATGGACAACATCAGGCATGAATATATCATTGCACAATATAGATTGACGGAGAGAAAGCAACGAAAATGGTGAGAGATTCGCAAATTTAAGTCCATTCAACAAAATGGTTATAGTTGGTACAATATCCCCATACAAGCGCATACACAAAGCTACATGAATCTCACCGGGCCACGCTACAGAGAACCAGATAGATCATATTTGCATCAATAAAACGTTCCGAAGGACAATGGAAGATGTGAGAACCAAGAGAAGAGCTGACATAGCTTCAGATTATCACCTAGTTGTGGCCAATTTAAAACTGAAGCTAAAGAAACAATGGACAACTGGGAAAACTGCAGCATAAATGTTTAATACAGTCTTCCTTTGAGATACTGACAAACTCAACGAATTCAAGATAACTCTCAACAACTAGTTCTAAGCCCTACAAGATCTACTGAATGAAGGAGAAACTAGTATGGAGGATAACTGGAACGGGGTCAAAAAATCATTAACCTCAACGTGTTAAGAGATTCTGGGCCGCAATAAGCATCATCATGACGAACAGATCTCTACGAAAATCCTGCACAAGATTCAAGAAAGAAAGAACAAGAAGACAACAATTAACAACAGCCGAACAAGAGCAGAGAAAGCTAACGAGCAAACTGAATACACAGAAGTAAACAAGCAACGACAGCGGAAAAAGCTTCAAGAAAAAGAAATATGAAAGAACTGTATAAAATGACGAAGAATCTATCACAGAAATGTGACAAGCCAGAGAGACCGCTCAAGGACAAAGAAATTTCACATATTCTTAGATGAAGCAAATTTTTGCGGATATCTATGTATTCATCTCTAAATCAAGATAAATTTAGTGAATATACCTCCTAATTGGTACTGTTACATAACTTTCATAAGAATACAAGAAATACAATGACTGATTTGACAATTCATGCATCATTTATAAAACAAACTAGGTAGAAAACATTGTCTGGTAACTTACGATCATTTCCAAGTGCTAATAAAAATGCAAGATATAAGGATATACATATATAACGGTGTATCTAGAAGCATGCATTACTTTGAAAGTAATTTAAACGGTTGTATTTGATTGCTATTGAGACATAAATTGTATTTCTTAGCATAAATATTAGTTAACAATGGTAAGTCATTGATTCTTATAATTACACTATCGTCTATTATCATCGGTATATTTTAGAAAATAATTTACGAAGTGACTGAGTGATATCGCTACTGATAAGTAGTACTTAGGACTAACGGAGATTTATTTCGATTAATTAGAATAACGTTAAAATATATTCACCAGGTATTTGGAAACTCCTTAATTTTCGTTGTGTTAGTTGTAGCAACATAGTAATTCATTGATTTTGTAGTATCAGAATAATCATATAAATGCCGATAAAGTTAGTAGATGTTCAGAAAACTTGACACTGATCATAGAGCACTGACAGTGTTGTTTTTACCTATTCTGTCTATTTATCAACATGTAGCGGCTATCCACTCTACATTGTTCATTATAGAAATGTTGAGTCCTTTAGTGAAAAACATATGTCATTTGAAAAAGACATTGATGAGATGATTTGATTGAAATATGTCGACAGTTTTATGTAGGTTTATACCAGATTACTGTCTATATTTTCTATTACATCTGATTAATGATTATTGAAGCATGGGATCATTTACCGGTCGTTTCTCATTACCTAATGATACATGGTTTTGTCTTGATTTCAAATTATGTCAATATTTAAAGACAATACACGGGTTTCATCCTGTTTAAAAGCTCTCATGTTCATCAGTTTGCATTACCACTGCGAAGAAATCTAGTTTGTATGGATTTTCACATCAGCACCTATCTATTAAAAAGAAGCAATGTTTAGCTAGTTCATCAATTGGTAAGACATTCGTTGGGTTTTGAATCGTCACAAACTAGATATTCTACTACCTACAAGAATATGGAAATAAATCAGGAACACCATTTTCAAGTAGGGTTGTTAGTGCCTTGTACTAAGAAGTTCACATAAGACAATAAATATACTTGATATTGACATTAACTAAGACTTTTTTCATCCCCCCCCCTATTTATTACCAATTATTAATTGACGTTAATTTGTTAATTTCTAATATGTCAGTTGTTCAGATCATGAGTCAATTGAAGCTAGACCACCATGGAAAACCTTGAAACACAGGGCGGCCGTTTCGTTCTATTGTAGGACTCCTCAGCAGTGCGTATCTACGACCTCGCCTCGTGAAATTCAAAACCAGGACCTATCAGTCGCGCACACCAGCGCATAACCACTAGACTGCACTTCTGAGGAATCCTACAATAGGACGAAACAGCCGTCCAGTTCTCCCAAGTTTCCCTTAGTGATCTAGCTTCAATTGACTCATGATTTCAACTATTAAAATCACTATAATATCTACATAAACCCTTTCTGATATTAATTTTTAACATCACTCTGTAGACTACAATCATGGTTTAAATTTGATATATTGATTGTACAAATTGATGAAATGTAACATCATAACATAAGAGACTTGTCTTATAACCAATTAGAGTTAGATAATATATGTCTATTGAAAGTTTGTACTACTTAAAAATCAGAAAATGCACATTCTTCACCATCTCAAAATGCACATTCTTATTGAGTTGATCAAATCAATTCCAAGAAAAACAAAGTACAACACATTATAGTAATAAATTTCTGCATTCAATTATAAATTCCTTTAAAGTGAATGCTGGAATGTAATATTAAATAACTTACCTAATATAGCAGCTTTAATTAGAGAATTTCAGTTAAAAGCGCATATGAAATAAGAATGAAAACCAAATTCTTATTTAATGTTGAGTGATTTTCTGCTATTACCACTTGTTATAATACATTTTGGTACTTCTTTATTGATTAAAGTTATGGTAGAAATTAATTATATTCTTAGATCAAAGTAACTTGTTTTAGTGACCTTGAACTGAGCCAAACACAGATGTAAGATAATCAGAATGAAACTGTTATATATGGATGATAAATTTCAGTAAATGAAAACATTCCATAGAATACAGGGTTTTAAAATGTTAGAATATTACTGTCTTACACTAAACATTCAAGCCCGAACAGTTAAAATACAATTTGCGTAGGTATCATAAATATTACGAAAAACAAACAAACAAAGTTACAGTGTATATGTAGGATCAACGTGATCATCTTAAGAACGTTCCATTAACATTTTGACAATCTGTAGTTCACTCTGAAATAAACTCGCCTCCTTATTTCTTAACCTCTCCAATTTTCGCTTGCTACACACAGTTATACTAATAGCTATTTTACAACGGTCAAATGTTTTACAGATGATCGAAGAATATGTTATTATTCGAATTGGTTAAGGTGAAAAAAAATTATCACAATTGAGTTTTTTAGTATCAGAGTATTCGTAATTGTTTGCTGCATTCAAATTGTTTACTTCTTACTGTTTAAAGGACAGCACAATGGTTATTGCCGTTAAAAAGGAGTGGCAATTGTGATTAGCTGACTTTTTCAACTAGGTAGGAAATATCAAAATGCATTCGTCGAAACTAAGCTAGTACTGATGAAAAATAATGTGTCTTATATACTCAAATAAGGTTGCTACTTTTCTTAGTAGAATGCATACCATGTTTGAATGTATATTTTCACTTCTGTGGTTGAACCACCTTTGCAATAAAGGCATTGGTAAAGATCGATCAACTGTTCATATTAAGCACTAACTCAGAATATATTCAGGAATAAATGTGATACGGAATTCACAATAACTCCGCCTGCTGCTCTTCTAGGGTTACTGCCTGTCCGAAAACCGGGTAAGGGAGGAGGGCTGGGCATGAGGTAGGGAACCTCATCCCGTAGAACGCAACCTTGTCAGAAAACGTCAACCAGAATAAACAATCTAAACCATTTATGCTCTATCTTGAGAGTTGTAATATTCTTCATTCAGAAGAATTATGATGCCTCATGATGAAAGCCGAAATTCTTCGGAAGTCACGAGGCCGATGCCTCTTCTAACAACCAGAGCAACAATTTTCATGGGTACATGAAACGTCCGGACAATGTGGGAGACTGCGAAGACCAGTCAAATAGCGACGGAACTGAGGAGATAAAAATTGGCAGTACTGGGAATCAGCGAAACTCGTCCGACCCAAACTGGACAACAAAGGCTAGATATGGGAGAGATGTAGATGTACTCCGGTCACGAAGAACACAGTGCTCCACACACTCAAGAAGTTACTCTGACGCTGTACAAAGAAGCACGAAATGCACTTGTAGGATGGGAATCTCATGGATCCAGGATTATCAAAGCATCATTCAAAATGAAAAAGGAGGAAATCAGAATAAATGTTATCCAATGTTATGCACACACCAATTATAGCACTAACGACGACAAAGATCAGTTCTACGGTAGGTTGCAACTGATCATAGCGAAGTATTCAGGACTTGACCATCCTGATAGCAGACCTAAACGCCAATGTCAGAATGGACAACATCAGGCATGAATATATCATTGCACAATATAGATTGACGGAGAGAAAGCAACGAAAATGGTGAGAGATTCGCAAATTTAAGTCCATTCAACAAAATGGTTATAGTTGGTACAATATCCCCATACAAGCGCATACACAAAGCTACATGGATCTCACCGGGCCACGCTACAGAGAACCAGATAGATCATATTTGCATCAATAAAAGGTTCCGAAGGACAATGGAAGATGTGAGAACCAAGAGGAGAGCTGACATAGCTTCAGATTATCACCTAGTTGTGGCCAATTTAAAACTGAAGCTAAAGAAACAGTGGACAACTGGGAAAACTGCAGCATAAATGTTTAATACAGTCTTCCTTTGAGATACTAACAAACTCAATAAATTCAAGATAACTCTCAACAACTGGTTCTAAGCCCTACAAGATCTACTGAATGAAGGAGAAACTAGTATGGAGGATAACTGGAACGGGGTCAAAAAATCATTAACCTCAACGTGTTAAGAGATTCTGGGCCGCAATAAGCATCATCATGACGAACAGATCTCTACGAAAATCCTGCACAAGATTCAAGAAAGAAAGAACAAGAAGACAACAATTAACAACAGCCGAACAAGAGCAGAGAAAGCTAACGAGCAAACTGAATACACAGAAGTAAACAAGCAACGACAGCGGAAAAAGCTTCAAGAAAAAGAAATATGAAAGAACTGTATAAAATGACGAAGAATCTATCACAGAAATGTGACAAGCCAGAGAGACCGCTCAAGGACAAAGAAATTTCACATATTCTTAGATGAAGCAAATTTTTGCGGATATCTATGTATTCATCTCTAAATCAAGATAAATTTAGTGAATATACCTCCTTATTAGTACTGTTACATAACTTTCATAAGAATACAAGAAATACAATGACTGATTTGACAATCCATGCATAATTTATAAAACAAACTAGGTAGAGAACATTGTCTGGTAACTTACGATCATTTCCAAATGCTATTAAAAATGCAAGATATAAGGATATACATATATAACGGTGTATCTAGAAGCATGCATTACTTTGAAAGTAATTTAAACGGTTGTATTTGATTGCTATTGAGACATAAATTGTATTTCTTAGCATAAATATTAGTTAACAATGGTAAGTCATTGATTCTTATAATTACACTATCGTCTATTATCATCGGTATATTTTAGAAAATAATTTACGAAGTGACTGAGTGATATCGCTACTGATAAGTAGTACTTAGGACTAACGGAGATTTATTTCGATTAATTAGAATAACGTTAAAATATATTCACCAGGTATTTGGAAACTCCTTAATTTTCGTTGTGTTAGTTGTAGCAACATAGTAATTCATTGATTTTGTAGTATCAGAATAATCATATAAATGCCGATAAAGTTAGTAGATGTTCAGAAAACTTGACACTGATCATAGAGCACTGACAGTGTTGTTTTTACCTATTCTGTCTATTTATCAACATGTAGCGGCTATCCACTCTACATTGTTCATTATAGAAATGTTGAGTCCTTTAGTGAAAAACATATGTCATTTGAAAAAGACATTGATGAGATGATTTGATTGAAATATGTCGACAGTTTTATGTAGGTTTATACCAGATTACTGTCTATATTTTCTATTACATCTGATTAATGATTATTGAAGCATGGGATCATTTACCGGTCGTTTCTCATTACCTAATGATACATGGTTTTGTCTTGATTTCAAATTATGTCAATATTTAAAGACAAGACACGGGTTTCATCCTGTTTAAGAGCTCTCATGTTCATTAGTTTGCATTACCACTGCGAAGAAATCTAGTTTGTATGGATTTTCACATCAGCACCTATCTATTAAAAAGAAGCGATGTTTAGCTAGTTCATCAATTGGTAAGACATTCGTTGGGTTTTGAATCGTCACAAACTAGATATTCTACTACCTACAAGAATATGGAAATAAATCAGAAACACCATTTTCAAGTAGGGTTGTTAGTGCCTTGTACTAAACAACAGGATGTTGGTTTTGTCTTCTAAGGGACTATGACATTACAGGCAGTTATCTACCTCGGTACAATGGGAGATGGTCGCGCAATTTGGTTAATTGGTTGAGGTTAGACATTAACACCATTGGATGCCGGATCAATGGCCCAGTAGGTTAAGCGTTTGCGCCAGACACTGAAGGCCCTGGGTTCGAATTCCGTGAGCGGGATCGTGGATGCGGACAATGGGACGAAACGGCCGTCCAGTGCTTCCAGGTTTTCAGTGGTGGTCTAACATCAGTCGGTTCATGATCACAATAAATAACATTACAAATTGTTTAAATGAATCTCAATATTGAACTGGACTGTTATAATATTATTTTAAACATGAATTATATTAAATCGTATTTCGATAACAATTTATTTTGACTTACAGTTTCTTACTGCAGCGTTTATAAGCGCGAAACTCACAGCTAAACAAACGAATATTATGTTGTACATTTCTCCATTAACAATACTCTTTCACCTTATTTATACTAATAATAGATGATGATGATTCGCTAACTATTATTCTACCTCCATAATTTGTATTCATTGGTTTCTTTGAAAGTTGACTATTTCAATTTTATAACTATTGACAAAATAACTACTACATATGTAACTACTACTATATATAAAACAAACGTGTTGTTCTAATGATTGAGACAATATCAAACAAGATAATTGCAAAGTTCAAAACACATTTAGAAGTTATTATTTATTCAATAGATGAGATTATCAGTCAATTGAAGGTAGAACATTATGGAAAAAATGGAAACACTGGACGGCCGCTCCGTCCTATTGTGGGACTCATCAGCAGTGCGCATCGACGACTCCACCCCGCGGGATTCGAATCCATTATTATTATTATAGAAATTGTGCATTTGAGAACAGACTTTAAAGACTATTTGTATAGTAATTAATGATGTTGTTGATTGATATCAACAGTTAATAGGAGATTAAATCAATCTTATTATTTATGTGAGAATATTTTAACACAATATAAATACTGATTTTCACTTTTCATCAATTGTGTTCGATGAAATCCCTCTTTATTGAAATGGAAGTTCAAGGTGCATAATGATGTATATAAGATGTATTTTTGTTGGATGGCACATTTAAATGTCTGAATGTATTTTCCTATTTCTCAGATTTCTGTATATTTATTATTGTGTATATGAAGATTTCATTGTTTTCAAACAGTATAATGGTTGAAATTGTTATGAAAGTGAAAATAGACTGAAGTTGGATTGACTATATATTACAGATTTATTACTAACGACTTAACGCGTATATTTTGTATGAATCGTGGATAAGCAACATTACTACAGGGTATATTTGACATAGTAACCTACAAACATAAAGTGAAGAGAATACGGTAGAGACAAAGTATCAGATAAAACAATAAAGATATTAAACGAAAATGAATTAAAGAATATAACATTTTGATAAAAATCTGGCAACAGCAAAATACAATATACAAGCCGTAATGGCAGAGATCGAAAGAAAACCAATTAAAGATACTTTGAAAATTAATAAATTTCTTTGTTTCGTGTATTTGTATTTAGAATTGCACACCGTGGATTGTGATTCGAATTGAAATGATCTACTAATGGCAGCTCGAATTTATACTATGGGATGGAAACAGCAGTCTCAACAGATTGGAGACTCCTCAACAAGCTGTACACCTCATGTTTGATAAAAGCGGTGGAATCAGCATGAAATCTCATCATTATTAAAAGTGGGAAAATATGGTAGGCACAGAGTTAGTGTGAGTTGTCCGCAACTCATGGAACAAGCGATTTCAAATACTTCAACAAATGTCTTGATAAAGTGGTACAGAAAACTGCAGAAACTAGACATCAGGATGTCAGTCTCACTGGTTTGCTCCATGATTATGTTGAACCACCGGTGTCAACATAGATAAGGAAAACATGTGGATTAAGATTGGCGAATGTGAAGCCTAAAATGAGAGCACTTTTCACACCCATTCTACTCGAACAAAATTGTACTGTAACGATCTGCTCAGCATCAAGCCTGTTTTTATAACACAAATTCGCCAACATTCAACACATTAGTGTTCATAGTAAAACAGTGATTTAAAAATTCTAATCAACACAGAAATCACTTTAAATCTAGGGTTTTAGAATCTCATTATCAGCAATGCGATCGTGTGATTTTATGTGTTGTTTTACATAGATTACAAAATTTGTTTTGTTTCAGAAAAATAACCTCCATTTCGTGTGACCTCAAATGAAAAAACGGAAACAAATGAATCTATTGTGTAGTAGCTTAGAAATTCCTACCTAATTGGAAAACGTCTAGTGATATAAGATGTTGATATGTACTTTGAAAGTCAAATACTTTGAGATAAGATGATGTTGGAGGAAGTCAATAGGTAAATTTGAACCGGGGTTCGTTCTATTGAACTCCGCCTGTAGCTGTTATAGGGTTGCTGCCGGTCCCAAGCCCGGGTAAAGTAGGAGGGTTGGGCATGGAGTTAGCGTCCCCATCCCGTAGAAAACTAACTCGCTAAAAAAACGCTCACCAGAAAAAATAATCCAAACCATTTTAACTCTGCCCTGGGAGTTAGAAGGTCTTCATTTAGAAGAATTATGACGCTTCATGGTGAAAGCCGAGATCCGTCGGAAGCCACGAGGCCGATGCCCCTTCTAACAACCAGCGCAAAAAATTTTATAGGTACATGGAACGTTCGAACAATGTGGGAAACCGGGAAGACTAGTCAAATATCAATGGAAATGAGGAGATACAACTTAGCAGTACTGGGAATCAGCGAAACCCACTGGACCCATGCTGGACAGAAAAGGCTAGCTACGGGAGAGATGCTGCTATACTCCGGTCACGAAGAGGACAATGCTCCACACACTCAGGGAGTCGCTCTTATGCTGTCCAAAGTAGCACGAAATGCACTTGTAGGATGGGAATCTCACGGATCCAGAATCATCAAAGCATCATTTAAAACAAAGAAGGAGGGGATCTTAATGAATATTATCCAATGCTATGCACCCACCAATGATAGCAACGACGAAATTAAAGATCAGTTCTACGAGCGGCTGCAGTCAGTCATTGAGAAATGCCCCAGAAAGGACCTAACTATTCTGATGGGAAATCTAAATGCCAAAGTCGAAATAGACAACACTGGATATGAAGATATTATGGGACGACATGGACTGGGAGAAAGAAACGAAAATGGGGAAAGATTTGCAATCTGTGTGCATTCAACAAATTGGTCATAGGCGGCACAATATTTCCGCACAAACTTATACACAAAGCTACATGGATCTCATCGGACAACACCACAAACAACAAGATAGATCATATTCGCAATAAAAAATTCCGAAGGACAATGGAAGATGTGAGAACCAGGAGAGGTGCTGACGTAGCTTCAGATCACCACCTAGTTGTAGCCAATTTAAAACTGAAGCTAAAAAAGAACTGGACAAGTGGACAAACAGCAATACAAAGGTTCAATACAGCCTTCCTTCGAGATACTGACAAACTCAATGAATTCAAGATAGCTCTCAACAACAGGTTCCAAACCTTACAAGATCTACTGAAAGAAGAAACTACTATGGAGGACAACTGGAAAGGCATCAAGGAAGCATTAACTTCAACGTGTCAAGAGGTTCCCGGTCTAAAGAAATACCATCATAAGGAATGGATCTCTATAGAAACACTGGACAAGATCAAAGAAAGGAAAAACAAGAAGGCAGCAATAAACAACAGCCGAACACGAGCAGAGAAAGTCCAAGCACAAGCTGAATACATAGAAGCAAACAAACAAGTGAAGAGGAGCATTAGAGCCGACAAGAAGAAATACGTTGAAGAACTAGCAACGACGTCAGAAAAAGCTGCTAGAGAAGGAAATATGAAACAGCTTCACGATACAACGAAGAAACTAGCAGGGAAATACAGTAAACCAGAGAGGCCGGTCAAAGACAAAGAAGGCAGGAAAATCACGGAAATTCAACAACAGCGTAACAGATGGGTAGAATACTTCGAGGAACTCCTGAATAGGCCGGCTCCAATGAATCCACCGGACATCGAAGCAGCACACATAGATCATCCTATAGATGTCAATCCACCAACTACGGAAGAAATTAGAATGGCCGTCAGACAAATCAAGAACGGGAAAGCAGCAGGACCCGACAACATACCAGCTGAAGCACTGAAATCAGACATCGAAGCAACCACAAGCATGCTTTGTCTTCTATTCAAAAAGATTTGGGAGGAGGAACAAGTGCCGATGGACTGGAAAGAAAGACACCACATGAAGATTCCAAAGAAAGGAGATCTGGGCAAATGTGAAAACTACAGAGGGATTACACTACTGTCAGTACCAGGAAAAGTCTTCAACAGATTGTTGCTGAACCGGATGAAGGATGCAGTAGACGCACAACTTCGAGATCACCGAGCTGGATTCCGTAAGGTTCAGTCGTGCGCAGACCAAATTGCAACACTACGGATCATCGTCGAACAATCAGTTGAGTGGAACTCATCACTATACATCAACTTCATTGATTATGAAAAGGCATTCGACAGTGTAGATAGGAGGACATTATGGAAACTTCTTCGACACTACGGAGTTCCTGAGAAGATTGTCAATATTATACGGAACTCATACGACGGACTACAGTGCAAAGTAGTGTATGGAGGACAGCTGACAGATGCATTCCAAGTAAGGACCGGAGTCAGACAAGGCTGTTTACTCTCTCCCTTCCTCTTTCTTCTGGTGGTCGACTGGATTATGAAGACCTCAACATCTGAAGGAAAACACGGAATACAATGGACAGCTCAGAACCAATTAGACGATTTGGACTTCGCAGATGACCTAGCCCTCCTATCACGTACACACGAACAGATGCAGATGAAGACAGCCAGTGTAGCAGCAGTCTCTGCATCAGTAGGCCTCAGCATACACAAAGGGAAAACTAAGGTCCTCAAATTCAAAGCGGAGAACAGCAATCCAATCACACTTGATGGCGAAACTCTGGAAGATGTAGAGTCCTTCACATACCTGGGAAGCATCATCGATGAACAAGGAGGTTCAGATGCAGATGTAAAGGCGAGGATCGGCAAAGCAAGGGTCGCATTCCTACAGTTGAAGAACATATGGAACTCAAAACAACTTTCAACTAATATCAAAGTGAGAATCTTCAATACGAACGTCAAGATAGGCAGTCCTACTGTATGGAGCTGAAACTTGGAGAACTACAACAACCACAATCAAGAAAGTACAAGTATTTATAAATAGCTGTCTACGTAAGATACTCAACATCCATTGGCCAGATACCATCAGCAATAGCCTTCTGTGGGAGAGAACAAACCAACTTCCAGCTGAAGAAGAAATTAGCAAAAGACGATGGAAATGGATAGGACATACATTACGCAAATCGTCAAACTGCATCACGAGGCAAGCCCTAACTTGGAACCCCGAAGGG